AAAAGCCTCTTGGACCCATACCCCAAACCCCACGGGAAGTCGGCCATTTTGATTTTCATTTTCACTTTCGGCGAACTTTTCGCGTTGTATTTGAACGAACTCCTCCTAGGGAATTCATCGGATCTGCTTCAAAATCAGTCAGTGCAGTCAACATATGTTGTTGAAAGTTGATCAAATATTTACTGTGCGTCAAACGGCGTGTCCGTAGCGTGGCGCTGAATTTCCCTGGTTCACAGTGAAGTGTCTTGCTATGAACACATAAGTCTTTTGCACAGTGTCTGAAACGTGTGACAATGTAGAGCTGTACACAGGAACGGCGTTACAAAGCATCCCTTCATCCAATTGCCTTAAAACTGATTTTCTCTGGAACTTGAGCAGGAAAATGACTTCCACTGTTCCCCCTAAAAATGTCAACACACCACAGTCCACTCATCAAATGCAGGCTTCAACAAGTTAACAAGCACCATGATGATATTCAAACACTGGATGCCAAGTTCCTCTTGCCAGATTGTTAGGTGATCAACACGATGTAATTCTGACATGAAAATCCCAGAACCGACGGGGCATGACTAAGCACTGATTACATGTATTTTCCCACAGATATAGTGAGCAGTCTTCCAGTAACGGACGCAGCTATTGACAACACATACACAAAATCCCCTGTAAAAACACAAGTATCACGTATAAATACATAAATATGTAAAACCTCTGAACTTCAAGGCTGCTGTTTCTTCACAGCCAGCTTTAATATTATAATATATTACAGGGATTTCATGTGTTTCTATAGACTCTGGGATGCTTTTTGGTTTAGTTTTGAGGTCTGTTATAAAGAATGTGGAATAATGTGCACCTTTGTGTTACAGTACATTCATGATTTAATCAAACAACCCTTTTTGTATTTGTGGCAAATTTTCAGTGACCGTCAGTGAAGTTTAAAGGTTACAGTGACACATTTCTGCTGCAATACGTCGTATTACTAAATGTCTGTTATTTAATGAATTCTATAAAATGTAAACCTCTTAAAGGAACAGTACGACATTTTGTAAAAGACAAAACCAAACACTTATTCGCTTTGTTAGAGTTGGATGAGAAGATTAATACCACTCTCGTATCTTTACAGTAAACATGAGGCTACAGTCAGAGGCCAGTTGTCTTAGCTTAGTATAAAGAGTGGATAGAGGGGCAAACAGCCTGACAACCAGAGCTGGTAGGTGGATGGAGCTAGGCTAGCTGTTTCACTCTGTTTCCAGTCTTTATGCTAAGCTAAGCTAACAGGTTGCTGGCCGCAGCTACACATTTACAACGAACACGAGAGAGAATGAAAGCCTACTATGAATTGACAGCTGTCAGTTGTGTTAAGCTACCAAACAGTGAGCTCAAAGGTAGAAATGAAATAAGTTGTCAGATTTAATGACACAGCAAGGAGGATGCAGCAACTTTATGAAGTGAAAAACTCACACTGGTGTTGTTCCTAAACAAAAATGTCCATCAATGCTTTGTAGTTGATTCCAGATTCAGTTCAGTCTAATCCTCAGAGTGTTCCTGATCACATGCTGCTCTGCTATAAATGCTGCCACAGTCCAGGGCACTGCGTACTCCAGCGTCACCAGTCCTCCCAGGTTGTACCTGAACCCGGAGTAGTCCCAGGGACAGGCCCCCAGCAGCCTCAGCCCCGCCCCCCAGCTGAACTCCCATAGGTAGATGAACCCGGTGTAGGCCACCAGACGCACTGGCAGTGGGAGATGATGAGCCAGCAGCCGGCCTCTCAGCCTCTCAATGAGGTAGACTGCAGTGGCGTACATAGGCAGCGCCCACAGGCTGCTGTGCCCTGCCAGCCTGCTGTCCTGGGTGCTGCACCAGTCCCACACAGCGGTGAAGGCCACCTCACAGAGGCAGCCGTGCAGCGCGTACACGTAGAGACGAAGTACAGCCGAGAGAGGGCGACCCGAGACTCTCCCACGTGGCTCTGCCGGGGCTTCATCCTCAACTCCAGTCCCTGTCGCAGAGAAACATCATTACTGTACGATTCTGGCCCGTTTGGAGAGTTTTACAGAGATGCACCATCAGTGTCTGATTTATTGAGAAAAACACTAAAATTCTTGATTTCAAAGAGATAATCCATTAATAAATTCATGGCTAGCTTTTTCCATTCTTTATGCTAAGCTAAGCCAGTTGCTGTCTGCAGTTACGTATGTACTACATATTTAGTATGCAAATAAGCACATTTCCCAAAGTGTTGAACTATTTCTTTCAGTTAAAACAGACTTAAGTTAAAGTAAAATCACTGACTACAACAGGAAGTACAGAACTGTGTTGCCGACTCAACATATTTATCACCATATTTAATCTGAGATAAAGCAGTTGCAGGAAAGCAGAGGTGGCAAAAGTACACACATTCTTTAAAAAGGACTGAGGTAAAAGTAGAACTACTGATTCAACTTCTTTACTCAAGTAAAAGTGAGAAAGTACAAGCTCTGAAATAAAGTATAAAAGTACTCTCTTGGTCTCTCTGTGTAAAGCCAACTGGAACCTCAAACAGGATCCAGTCTGGCTGTTGTCTATTGTTAGTTCCTACATTAAAAACCTGTCAGTTATTTTGGGAGTGATAGCTGCGAGCAGGCCCGTGCTTTGGATTTCAGAGGTGGGACCACAGGTTTGTTTACACTGGGATTATGAATTGTTCCTTCCACCGACTACAAATGAAGCGAAGCAATGTGATTAAAACGGGCGCATAAGAGAAAATAATTACTGTAATAATGAGATGCAGTTTGTTATAGAAAAGATTTGGATAAAGGGGGTAATGTTTCCAATATCTTTATTACTTTTGTATTATTGACACTGTTGATCATTAAATTCTCCAGTCTAAAGAATTATTCTTTTTCTTTTAATTGCTTTTAAATGGGTGAAATTGTACCAAACTCTATAAAGAAAACAGTGTTTTTAGCATTACTTTTCACTATCTTCAAATTAAACAAACACAGGATAGATACACTGTAACTGTACTAACAGTATTAAACTTTAGTTTAACAGTTTAATCTATTAAATAAACAGTCAAAAAATGACAAATTTGCAAATTGTATTAAAAAAATGTTATGTATAAAAGGACATTTTCTTTAAATAAATAGTAATTTTATAAGTATTTACGATTTCAAACAATTTTTCCAGATAATAATATTTATTTTTTTAAGACTTGTTTTCCCCTAGATATTCTCCTCCACATTATAATCCCTCTGATGCAGTTCTGTGTCAACCCTCCTCCACAGGACACACAGTGTAAAGACTCTAATGTGGATTAACAGCTCAGCTTAACACATTAAAGACTTGGACAATCTCACAATCAACAAGTTTTCACTCTACACTTGAAAAGAGTGATGTTAACTGAAGCTAAAT